ACCTCAAGGGTTCCAGTGGTGGCGATGATGGTGATTACAGCATAGTATCCGCCTTTATGACTGCGTCCTTGCTTCTGTACACCCCCGCTGCGATCTCAAACTTAAACTTTAGCCGTTCCACAGTTAATAAGTCTTGGACCAAAGTGACCGCTTTATACACCGACACATTCAAAATATTCTTAGTATTTAAAACGATCTACTTCAAAACATTGTTGTCCGTCAGTGAAGTAATGAGAAATCAAATCTGAAGCAGACCTTTCAGTAACAATCGTTTTCACTAGCCTTTTCTTAAATAAATGCGTCACACGGACCACATCGCCTAAATCCTGATGATGGCACCTGTTGGTGGCAAAGATCTGTAATAGCCTCTCAGAGGTAGAATCGAAATCCGAACTGTGACCGTCTTTGTGAGGGAGATAAAATGACCAATTCCCTCGTGCTGGCCTGGGCCGTTAAGTAGTCGCAGAACGACCTTGACAGAGGTTTCGATTCTGTCTTTCCACTAAGTAGCCGAGTCTCTGTTATTAGGTAATTTTGTAAAGATTAATTGGCAATATTGGGATTCTCTTCAAATACCTCATTAAGTGAGAGGTAAATCGGCTGAGCAACGTCAAAGCTTGGTGTAAAATTAACGTGTTTTTTTCGCCACAAACGATTATACACATCACCCTCACGTGGAGTAACTTTTTGCCACTCTTAGTCCTTTTATTTCATAGGACATAGTTGTAATCACGCCGGCATGCTCGGTAAAGCCAACGTGTCAGTCACCTCAATCGTGATCCGAGCATAACTTCATCCTTCTTCTGCATTCGGCCGTTATTTTTCGCTTTATTACCAAACAATTAACCTAGAAGTTTACGCACTTTTCCTTTTGGGATTACTTATCATCCAGAAACGAGAATTGGCTCTTCTTGTTTGCTTTAAAGTGGGTCCCTTACTCGGTCTCTAAGATCATTTGTGTGAACACGCTTCTACTTCCATAATCAATTATCCACCACTATTTTGCTTCAACATCTTAATCAAACCTTAAGTGGATTACTTTGCTAATGTTAACTTGTAAGACTAAAAAGCATTCTTCGGTCTGCATCGAAGATACTGCGCGTAGCTACAAATAGAATCCCATTTATTGCATGCGCTCCTCGATCCCTGAGAAGTGGTGGGTAATTATGCTAATTTCTTCGGAAGTCGGTCATTCAGAGGATAAGGTAATTATGAGGAAATAATGGAAAAGGAAGGGTCACTAAAACAGCGAGGCTATTAAGGCAGAAGGTTGGAGTGCTTGGCACAGGAGCATTAAACACGAACCTCTCGCGACTTTGTCCTTAAGGGAGGGCGCAGTAAACATGTAGGAATCGAGCAAAGAGAGGCCATATGCGCATCCGCTGGGACAGTTGGCCATAGCCAAGCAATCACACAATTACGCAATCAATCGATCACCGCATTATCCACAACCCTGTATCCATGTCCGTAAGTGTACGGACGCACCTGCACGCACCTAGATGTCTGCACCCTAGTCAACCGGACAAATCAGGTTGTGTACTCCGCTTGTTGCCCCAGCGACCACACATATGCGCACGTGGTGAACGCGCGAGAACAGCTGATACCTACACACACGTGCGAGTGGATGCGCGCGCGCACTGCCTATTCGTGCGTGTCGGCACGTGTACGCGGCGTGCAAACCCGCGTTCTCCCCTGAGTGCACACGTGTGCATGCAGGCTACTCGCAGAGCCTGCACCCGTACAACTCCAGCAGGTACGTACGCACGCAAACACGCTCGCACACATACACGCACGCACGCGCACACGCATGCACATGCAGAACTGCATATATCTACCGTCTCTGCGTCTGGTTCACTTGCGTGTAAACCTACACTTTGCTGGTACGCAGACATTCAGACAGATAGTAAATATTTTGGTAAGTTAAATACCTCTCTTCTATCATAGTCGGTTCCATTCAAATACTACAGAATGATTGGCTGTAGCAGGGGAGAGCTTGCGTTCACACGTAGGGGAGAGGACAAGAATTTGGACGAATGGGATAGCCACCACGCTATCCGCGTTCCAGCGACCAATAAGAAGTCGCCCTGCGGGCGAAGTCTCTTCCACAGGGGTAGATCTGTGTCTGCCTTCAAGTGGAAAATAAAGTCAGATTTTTTAACCCCTCAAGTAAAAAAGCGAGAACCTAATTTAAGGGGGAGGGATTACAGTGACAGGAACCATAAAATTTTTAAGTAGTGTGTATGTTCCCTTGGAAGAGGAGAGCCCACGGAGCTATGGTCGCCTTGTAGAATAGGGCTCAATGAGGGGCGAATAAAACCGCAAACAGATGTTAGACAGCCTCAAATTGACTGTTAATAACCTCACTTTTAGATGCAAACCTTATTTAGCAATTCCGGCTTTAATTGTAACACTTTGATGTCGCAAGGACTAACGGAGGTGCTGACCAACGGATTCAATCTTAACGAATTTCCCTTTGGTCTACTGAACGGAAAGCCATTCAAAAAGACTGGGAGTTCTCCCGTTTTATCTCCAGAGATTCGTCGTTCTGCTCCTTCAACTCCCACTCCGACTAGCTCTACGGGATACATGCAGTTCCCCTTTGTCGAAAAGTCACTTCAACCTTCCATCAACGGTACAACAAATAGTGTGAAGGAGAAACTCCTAGCTGCATTAAGAGAAATAATCCCGCACAAATCGACTCTTAATTTACGTATGCTCGTCACCTACACAGTGGATAATGCCAAGTCCGATGTGATTGTGATTGACGAGACTCTTAAGCGCAAAGAATGTGAGTCTTCAGCACCGACAGGGAATATTCTCGATCTCTCCCAGAAGTCAGAAGACTCTACGAAGCCTTGCCACACAGACGATAGTGCGGGATGCATGTTGCAAAAGTCTGTGGCACCAATTATAGGCCTCGTTCCTAACATGACTGCTCCTCTTGGCATCATTCAACCTACGGACTCCTCAGCTCCAGCGGCGTTAAATACCGAAGCCGCCCTTTTGATGTTACAGACTTTGCTCAACACTAACAGTACAAATCTCGCTCAATTGAGCTCGTTTAATTTCTCTCTCCCCATGAACATAACGCCCCTGCAGCAAGGCGAAATAAAACCGCAGGTTTTCCCCAATGAAATCGCTCCAAACGTCACCATCACCAACTGCGAGACCATTCTACCAAACATCCAATTTGGACCGAAATTAGAGGTATCGGTTCCTGCAACAAATGAAAGCGGGAGTCGAAGTTCCTCTCCCCTCTCTAATCATGAAAGAACCTCACCTCTTGGGACTTTCAAACCACTCCAAAAATCCTCTGCTCAAGCCGTCTCAGGCAGCTTCAGCCGGCGCTACATGCATCCGCGACGCTTCATTTGCAACCAATGCCGGCAACAGTTCTCCTCTTTGGCTGAACTTAATCGTCACACACTGGAATTGCACAACTCTTTCCGATGCAATTTTTGCAAGGCAAAATTCACCCAACGCTCAAACCTTCAGCGTCACTCCTTGAAGCACGTTGGATTTAAGCCCTTCACCTGCAACATCTGTCAGAAGGAGTACTATAGAAAAGACCATTTGGTTAGGCACATCGAAGTTACTCATCCCAATGTTGATCCCCGAGTGAACATCACCACTCGTTTGACCTCCTCCGAATGTCTTGACTTCCTTGATAATCTGCACGTCTATGGCAATTCAGAGGGCTCAGTGGAAGAGACAAATGTGTCGTCGCAAAACGATGCACTATCTGCATCAAAAATTTCGCCGGTAAAGATGGAGGAGAGTTCCATACGGACGGTTGAAGGTCCTCCTGAGGCCTCCATAACCGCTATAGGGGAGGGAGAAGAAGAAACTCCTGAAGTTGAGTCGCCTTTAAAATCTGTAATTGGGAAAGTTGAGCAAACTCAATCAATGGAGACGTAGGAGGGTGATCCAAAACACCGTGTGATGCATTTTGTCGGGCTATGATAGTTTCTCGGTATTTCTAATGACTGGTTTTCTATCTATAATGGTCTTCAATTTTGTATATTATGTCACCCACCTTTCTGTGATGCTACTCACTACTAATTTCTTGCTATTTCCCTATGTACATATATACATATTAGTATGCTACTGTGGCTCCTTTGCGTGAAACTTTAGTATGGGATGTGAATACTTATTAAGAATATGGATGCCTTTAAACTTAGTCCCACTTCGAACGGGACAATTGGAAAATTTTAGCCCACATGAGAGAGTTTAAATCGAAGACCTGGAACCTAAAATCAATGTGAATTTGTGGGACGATTGCTCAGGAGTTTGGGCTAGTAAACGCAACTCCTCCTTCAGGTCAGTGGGGGTGATCTCGGGGTAATCGTGGGCCTTTCTCTGTGGAGAAAGTAACCTTTATAACTCCGCGGAGAACTTTATGCCGGCTTCAGTGACGATAATCGAAAGCTCTCCTAAAAATGTTCCTTGCATGTGTAGAAGCTAATTTTGTTTGCAAAACAAGGCAAACTAAGCTCATGCGATCTTCGGATCATCGGATGACACGTGGTTTTCTTAAGACATCATACCAACTACATTCACTCGCCAAAGAGACTGTTGTGACGCCATCGTGATAGCCCAGTGACTACACCCTATGGAAGAGTAACCTTTAAGCTCTTAAAACCGGCTTACGGGATATCGTTAAATGAAAAAGGTGAGGTGTTTCTGTAATCGGAGAGATTCACTTCAACATGGCGGTGGTGTGAATTTCTCAGAAGCATGGGACTATCACAGCAGACTTCCCATAAATTTGCACCTCTCAGAATTGCTCTTTTTATGTGAGACTTGATGGCTTTCTCTCTCCATCTCCTCTTTCTCGTTTTAGCTCTTCCAAAGCGGAAATTTTTCCCAAGGACTAGCAAACGGGAACATTGATACTGGGATTAAAGCGCCCTACTTAAACTTCCAATTGAAGTTGAAATTATATTTAGAGGCTCTTTGGACAATTAGCTAAACTTCTAAGGTAGCTCGACATCAACATTCTCCGTTTCGGTGCCAGTGGCCTGCGTTGGAGTCGCTTTTCAAGTTGATGTTTCGAAAATATGACTTAAGGAGAGGGACAGGGAGAGAGAGGAAATTGTTCCTCATTTTTATCAAGATAGGACAATTACTGAAAAACAAGAGGTTTCTCAAGATCCCTCCACTTTATGAAAATTGCATGCAACTCAACCTCTTCAACACTTTAAAGGCACCGATAGAACGCAGAGGATTGGTGTCGAGAAACCCGGAAGGCTGAGGCATTAGAAAAGTCATTTAATCGGGAACAACTCATCTCAACGAAAAGGACTGCATATGTAATACATCAATTCAAGTGACAATGCTCTTTAAAGATTCGCGAAGGTTTCAAAGTTGGTCATCTAATAAATGGCCATTTATCACAGCCACCAAATTGAGAGTGGTGTGTACTTGCAAAAAACCGCGAATCCAGTGACAAGACAGGTATATCCTGGTGGTAGTTGCAGAAAGTAAGAGGTAAATTACCATGTCTCCACGTCCGTTGGCGCTCTTGTGTCTAGACCGTCGCAATGCTATGCAATGCGCTATGCTTTGGTGTTTTAGTTTTTTTTTTAAATGGCGAGACTTATACTGGGCTCGGTGGTGATTTAATTATCTCTTGTTAC